TTTTTCATTTCTTTAGGTTTGTAAAAGCTTCTTGGAGAAGGTGGCCATTTTGGCAGGTCTGGATTAGCTGCCCAGAGTAACGGTGCTGGAGGATCAAAGATCCTTGTGGCTTGTATACAGTCTTGGAAAACATGACATCTGCAGAGGACTACATTTCTCCTTTTGAAATTTGGGGGAGGAAATATGATGGGCATTAAATGGGGGTAGTAGGCCTGGGAGCAAAATGCAAATAGTGCAAAAATCTAAAGTAATGAGAAAAGTCATGAACACAATGTGGGTATCTGAAGTAATTATTTGTGGTGTTATTTATTCATCTTCTTGGATTTCATCAGAAAAACCTAAAGGAAACAATTTTCTCTTATAGAATTAAATAAAGTATTGGACATATGTATCAATATGATCCTGCATTGAATTAATTCAGAAGCAGTGAAACAGATACACTTTTAGTTGAATACATGTCAAGTACATGAGGAATATCTCTGAAGATGACAATCACTGCTGAGCTGTGATTTATATGCCTTTACTTTTTTATGAATGCAATCCCAACAGTTACAACAGGCAGATAGCGTCTGGCCTGTGGAAGCCAGGCAGGACTTTAGGCAGGTTCTTCACAGCCTTATACGTAGAGAGCTGATATGCAGAATGTCCTGAAAAACAAAACTGACATATAAATGGTAACCATTAAAAACAGTAAATAGTCTGAATTTCAGAAGTAGCTTTTTGTGATTTGCCTTTCTTATTTTTCACTGTTCAATACTGGGCCTGAAACCTGATAGAAATAGGGTTAAAAAAAAAAAAAACCCAACAAAAACCCACTTAAAAATAATTGATTCTAGAGACTTTAGAAACTTCTTTTTTTCATGGAAATAAAAGGTGAATGCCAAGTACATCTTTGAGTTTCTAGTATTTACTATTGCTATTAAAGTTAAGTTATATTAATTAATTTATTGCCATTCTATAAATAGTGACAGACACAATAGTTTCTTTTTTAAATTGCCATTTTCACCTTCTTTTTCAAGCAATAGATCTGCTTAAATTCCATGGAGAAGAGAAAAACATGCAACTTACTCCTTTGAATTGTCTTTTTCTGTTTCTCTACAAAAGTATTCAACTCCACCTGAATTATCCCATATACAACAGAAATTGTATACAGATGTAACACGAGATTCAGTCTGTGTACTCCAAGCACTATGATCAAGCCTATCAACTACATTATAGAAGAGTTTACTTTTGCTGAATTGTTATGCTCTGTTTTAGAGATATCTTTTCATCACTGAAGAAAACATCAAAAGATTTTAGGCTTTGACATTCATATCCAGGATAAGTTTCAAAGTCTTTCATCAACTGCTGAAACTGGATTAGCACCAGAAAGTACTTAACAGTCTCTACCTGACTAGAGGAGAAACCAAAGGACCTTTGGCTTAGCAAGAATCTATAAAATGTGATTATTAATTTCAAGATATCACACATTTAAAATGGAATTCTTCAGTGTTCTTTGGGCAGGATGATTCTAAAATTATGAATTGATGAAGAGCTGATGAAGAGTCTGACTGAAGATAATATCAAATCCAGAAGCAAAATAATTAAACTAATAGCTATGAAGGACAGGCTGGGAGAGAAAATTTAACAACTTAAATGAGCTTATAAAAGTTTCAGGTGAGAAAGGAGGCACTGCCTTTTCAACTGAATTTCTAAATACTACCCTTGTTTCCTCTTAGAGTTTATCAGAGGAGTGGATAAAATTAGTATTTAAAGTAACCTCTTTCCTTACAGAAACAGAACAAAATATTTACTGGTTTGCGGTTCAGCAGTGACGGCCCCATGCTTGGCCTCCTTTTAGTCACTGAAATGTATGGAACTGTTTTCAAGGAACCCAAATAAGCTGGAAGCCAAACTGACAAAATAACTTTGAATTATTGAAATTGCCTTTATTAAAAAACACTGCAAAGGTTGCGCTTTGTGCTTGAAGAAGTCAGATCTGGATGGTGCCGTTTTAATTGCTGCATTTTCTCAGCTCTTATCATCGGTACCAGATGATGTATTTCATTCTAAAATACAGTTCAGTATTGCTCAAAAACTAGGAATATGCTGTGCTGCAGCTGAAACCACAAAACACTTCCAGTTTTCAATCTGAACTAACATATGCTTAAAAACTTCAAGAGTTAAAAAGTGGAAAAATATAAAATTCTTGAAATACTATTTGAAAATAAGGTAACTGCTTATAGAAAGTGGGTGTAAGACTCCTGTGGCTTTTCAACAGGCAAAACATGAAAATGTGCCTATAAAGCATACCTTGCCTTTTTTATAACTCTGTATGAGCATGACAAAATTAACAATTTCAACTTCTCAAGAATTCATTTCAATTACATTTTGCATTTTTCATTTAGCTATTTAAATGGTATTTCATACAAGCATTATTACAGAACATTATGGATTCTAGCAGAAAGAAAAGCAGTCACGTTCAAAATCAGAAACATAATGTGAATTTGCTGTTTTCTATGATTCACTGTATTGTAATCATTAATCCATGTGTTACTACAAATAAAATCATTTAAACAGTTGTGATTTTTAGGAACTGTATTCACTTAATTAACTTCTAATTTTTGTTCACTGCAATGCATAATGTATAGCAATATATTTTTTCTTGTTCTACAGTATTCCTGCATTAAAATGAAACTATTTAAAATATAATATTTACAGAAATATTTACTGATAAATAGAATAATATATATATATTCACGGAGAAATTTTAGCTATTGAAGTTCATGTTTATCCAGTAAATCAGAGCCTATAATTTAACATTTTTACATTCGACCTCTGTATCAATTGCTTGCAGTAACTAATGTCATAAGTTTTTCAAAACATAAGGAATGCAGTAACTAATGTCGTGTTTCAAAACATGAGGGAAAAGGAAATCTGGTAAATAAGTGGATTTAAGACAGCACTTTAAATTATTATTTTCTGTGCCCACCAGAAATACTAAACTGTCAGAACTAACAGAACGCTAATAGTATTAGACTTAACAGTGGATTTTATTATTCATTGTCCATATAGCAAGCACATGACGAAAGATAGAGTCACCAGTCTTGAGTTTCAGTATCTGCCATTTTACGCAGATCGTTGCACAGTTTCAAATTTATGCAATGTATTTTAATAGTTTCAGATCTATACCGGAGGTACTTTGCAACTCACAGTTTGCCATACCACAGACAGTGTGAGATTGCAAGGCCCAGTTCTCAGCTAGAGGTCCAGTGGAGCTACTGATTTATCCCAGCTGTAGATCTGAATCTGTTGACATGATGAATTATTGTTGATCCCAATGCAAGTTCCTAGTTGTATATTATGAACATTACAGTATATGACCCTATGTAGCTCCTGAGTCATAGCCATTTGGTTAACTGAAAAACCCCAAATGTTTACTTCTAGCAGTGCTGCTCAGCCACTAACTGTGATTATTATTAAACTGCAGAAAAAAACCCCTATGTCTTAGTGTGCTTATACATGCACAGAAAAAATGCTAAGACCCTGATTTTTCAAGATCTGCATTGCTGATGCTGATTAATGGCAACAGTCAGCTGAAAGAACAAAGCAAGATTTTCAAATATGTGACAGAGTATGAAGAACTGGCAAATCTTAAATTCTCTCCTGCTGTCAGATATCATACTTCTATTTGGACTACATTTTGTGCATTTCACAAAATTAACTAAAATACCAGATCATACAGATTTAAGAACAACAATAAAACTGATGCATATCTGGATGCTGATAATTTTGAATATATTAAGAGAACATATTTAGCTCATTAACATTCATATTTGCAAACATCCCATAGGCCAAAGAAAACAAAAAAACTAACAAATATCCTGAGAAAACCCATACCTCAGTATGAAATCCTGACCCCTTCTCCAACTAAGTACACACAGTTCAAATACACTGAGAATGCCAAGCTACAGGGGCCCCTCTGTGGGGAAACCTGCAATTCAGTCAGCAGCGTCAGCCAAAATAGAAGTTGGAGGTACAGATGCTAGAGAGAGGATGACACTTTAAAGTGGTGGTTGATTTCAGAACGAGTATGTGCTTCTGTGTACAATTAAGTTAATGCCACACTTGTACTGGTGCAATGCTTTACCTGGATTTAAGTGCAGCACAAGACTACCACTCTAGGCTCTTTTCAGTGTAGGTTTATGGTACTAATTAGGCTCCCTATCATGCAGCCTACCCTGCCTAGGTCATTTGGTGTCACATCTCCCAGCAGGGTCGCAAAAGGCAATGAAGGAGAGAAAAATTGTGTTCTACAACTCCCTCGACTTCTGCAGCAAAGAAGACACTTGGGAGACACTTGCCGGCTTAAAATCCACAGGTCTTGGCCCGAGGCTTTTTTAGGCAGCACCACACCGGTGCCTCTGACCAGTGCCACATTCCCACTGTTTCGGGACACCTCTGCAGGCAGCAGCAGCCAGGTCTGAAGACCGGGTAAAGGCAGCCAGGAAACTACCACGCCTGTTTTTCTTCTTGTCCTGGATGGTAAAACGTTAATGACCTAAAACCGCGTTCCAGCTAGCTTACAGGGGGGAGCGGTGTGACACGCAGCCGCTGCCGAAGGGAACGGCTGCCGCAGTTGTCCAGCCGGGGTCTGTTTATAAACTGAGAAGCTCGTCTCGCCTCACGCACACGGCGTGGCTTTGGATCCGGCTACCGCTGTAGCAGTGTCGCGGCAGCGCTGCTGGGGCCGAGGGCCAGGCCCGGGGCACTCGAGGGGCTCGACAAAGCCGCCGTCTGCGACCGCTCGCTGCCGGCGTGCCTAGAGACGGCCGAGCAGGGAGGCGCCCGAGCGGCAAGCGCATGTCCGTCGCCGCTTTCTCTGTCGCAGCCCACCCACTCTGGCAGAGACTCGAACTGCCGCGGTTTCACGCGGTTTCCATGGAAGCATCGTAGCGATCTCCCGTGCCGGCGGCGGGGCGGGGCGGGACGCGGAACGCTCCCCGGGGGCGGTACCGCGCGCTGCCGTTGGGAAGTGCGTCACGGCGTGCGCGCGCTTGCACCAGGGCGGTGGATTCGAACGGCGGGGGACGGTTGGGCGGGAGCCGTTGGACCCGTTGTCGGCGGCGCCCGTGGGAGTAGGATGGGGCGTACGGCTCCCCGCGCCGCTTTGCGGAAGATGCTAAAGAACGAGAAGTCGGCGTTTCGCCTGTTGGCATGCACCGACCTGCTGGTGAGGAAGGAGAGGAGCGGGCGCCGGGTGCGCGGCCTGGGGTTGGTGCGGGCAGCTTAGCCCCTCGGTGTTGGCCCTGCAGCCTCTAGCCTGCCTTCTGTGGGCACGGGCCGGGGACAGCGCCTGTACCAAGCAGGCGGCTGCGGTCCCCAGCCGCTCAGGCAGCGCGGTGAGCTGAAGGGATGAATCCTCCGGCTCCGTGAGTACTGCCACTTCCGGGGAGCCTGGGGTCGTGGCGCCCCGCCGGGAGCTGTTGCTCAGGTTGCTATGGTGCAGGTGTCCCTGATGAGGAACAGTTTGTACATGTTTTATCGCTTGGATGATACGGACCGATGGATTGTGCTCACTGGACTGATTTGGAGTTACTGAGAGAAATGGGATGTCAAGTTACTGCAATTTGTGTTTCCCCAGTGACCTACAGGCAGAGGGGAGGCAAAGTTTTCGGGGAGAAGGTAGTTCATTAGTATAATAAAAGACTAAAAAGTAGTGATTGCAGCTTTCTGCTTTGCTGGTGGCAACTGGATTGTCATTTTCTGACAGTTTGGGGATTCAGGAACAGCCTGATGCATATATGTTATGTCACTGTGTTGTGTGTACACACTGAGGTTCAAAAAGTTTGATGTAGACAGGCTGAGAAATAGGAATTTGGATTATGTGGTTGTAACATGTAGGTGTTGTTTAAGAGTTCAAATACACATAAATGAATCAACTGGGCAACAGTTGATGACAACATAACAACAGTTAATGAGCTGTTAAAGCATCTAGCTTGGCCATGTTTTTGTAGAAGGCCATCTAAATAAAAATCTCTGTCCAAAACTAAGTAACAGCAAATCTTGTTAGTAATCTAATGAAGAAATGAGGTGTTGGGATCCTGTTCATGATTTAAAAACAGCTGCCATAAAAGTGTGGGGATAGCAGAGCTATATTGAACAAGTTTCAGAAAACTTAAGGCAACAGGGTTGGATTCCTTCTAACCTGCAGTAAGGGATCTGTGGCACAGGAAGGGCTTGTCAAATATTACGTGAGTGCAGCAAGGAAACCTGACTTCAAGAGAGGTTGTGGTAGCTGCCATATTGAAAAGAAAATAATACTTGTGCATAAAATAGTATTCTCTGAAGTGACTTAATAGGGTTAACTTATGTGACTGTCATGCCCTTTTTTTTTTCAAGTGCTTGTGGTTCTTGGGGCATTAGTGCGTACTATATACTAATATGGTCCCTGACTTGAATTGTAAGTCCATGTTTCATACGTATATAGAAGTTGTGTCTTGCAGCATCATAAAGCTTGGTAACTGGATATATGAAGCTAAACGTAAATATACAAAATTTAAAAATACCTAATGCGATTAATATAAATGAATATAATATTTGCATGGGAGGATTTACGTTTGAATGTAAGCAAAGCATATTTTTATAGCTGTTAAAATAAAAATATGATCTCTCATTACTGCTTTTGCTGTCTGCATTCTGTGGACTGAGGAGCTGGCCCCTTACGGAAACCCACTCAAAGCTTATTCTGGAATGCAGTAGTTAACTAATCAAACTTTATTTATACAATAATTAATATTTTTTTTGTAGTCATTAGTAACGGTTGATCTTTATTTCCATGGTGATGTTAATTTGGCTTCAAAGTAGTGTAGCTGCCTGAAAAAGGCTGAGTGGGAACCAATAGCCAAGATTTGGAGGGATGTTCCATCTCATCCTTGTCTTTGTCATGGTGTTCTATGGGCCACAAAGACAATCAGTGAATTGAAGAGACTGAAATTAACAAACAACAGCAATTTGATCTAGCTTAAAGTATGGCTATGTAAATATTCCTTTGAACACAAAGGGTAGGAATGAATTCTAATGTGGAGGAGGTTTAGATTCTCTCTTCTGGTGATGTCAAGTTAAATGGCATTTGCTCTTAGGAGGATTAGCTTTTTTTTATTTTACCTTAAATAGGAATGTCCAGGGATGGTGATCATCTGTGATGTTCTTCAACTAGGTGTGTGGCTAACAGCTCTATGAATAAATAATCAATATAACTGGAGTTCTGCTTCATTAAAAAAAAAAGGGGGGGGGGATTGTAGTCCTGTAGCTAGACAAGTAACAATTTTTTAGAGTATCTTTTTTAATGTCTCTGTTATTCCCTAGGAACCTTGTGAGAATTATTAGATTGTATACTTTAGAAACTTATGTAATAGCCGTCTTAACATGACAAACCCATTTATATTTTGGGGAAAGTGCTTGTGTCTTTTGCAGGGAAGTTTCTGTGCTAATTTTCTGAATGATCTGTGCATTACATTTAAATCTGCAGTGGTACTTAGCCAGTACAGTGAGGTTTGCCTGCCTCGCTTATGACAGATTGTTTTCCTTGTCTTGACCTTCAGTGAGTATTTTTCCTGATTTTTTTAAATCAGTGTCTTCTTCCATGACATTATTGAAAAGTTTGAAAGACCTAAGAATTCAGACAATTTTGTTGAATATCTGAATGGAGTTTCTTTTTCACTTTCCAGATTCTTTTGATCAAATCTCTTTTTGAAATCTGAACCTTTATCAGAATCTATTTCCTATGTATTAACATCTTTTTCTGTGCACAGTGTAACTAATAAATTTCATCAGACTTTCAGATCCAGAAGCTGTTTTAAGGAGTGTGATAATATCTTTGAGTGAAGGGGTAGGAATAGTGTTTAAGGTTTTTTCAATGCTCTTACAAGTCAGCTATTTACCTTTTTAAAATAAGAGGTTAAGATTTTAGCACAGTGGTCTGAGGGGAAAAAATCTGAAAACTTCGTTCTAGCTGGAAATTATAAAAGAAAAGCAGGAACTCAGCTGCTTGTTCTATGCTAGAAAGGCAGGTTTGTATTTCCATTTCAGAAAAAGCTTAAAAGTATAGTATTGAATTACTACCACCCCCCCTTTTTTTCTTTACCGTCAGAGAATGCCAAATAAGTGTACATTGAAGGCAAAATATGACTTTAAAGAATTTTTCTGAAGTTATGGCAGCAAAACAAAATTACAGATCTTGTCCCTAGTGTTTGTTAGTTCTATTGAACAGGTGTATGCAAGTTGCTCTGTGAGCAGTGTTGTGAGTTTTTGCATATATTCTTAGAGGTTTATTACCTTTCTTTTATGGGATATGAGCATTCTGTTCTGTAAGGTGGCTTTCACAAATATTTGAAAACTATTCTTGAATTTTATGCAGAGAGACTATAATGTAATACGTAGTAAAGCAATGTCTTTAAACAAATGTTTTATCACTTAAGTACTTCTCAGTAACTGTGCTGTTCATGTTTTTTAGGCATTCTGCCTTTCATTAGTCTTTCTCAATTGCCTTGGATAATCTGAAATATTTATTAATGTGCATACTCTATTGTGGAATGTTCTGACTTTAGCTATGTGACTATAAGAGTTCAGGGGAAGCTTCTCCACATGCGGTAATTCACTTTGAAAATAAAAAAATAAAGGTACAGTGATTCTGAGGGAAGATGCATTTTTTAAAGGCAGTTTTAAAGTTAACACTTGTCTTTAGGGTAATTTAGCAGGAGAACTTGCAAGTATGGAAGCTTTTGTTCCGTCTCCTTCTTCTTCCCCAGCTTGTTTCCAGAAATCTAGCCTCCATGTTGTTAAGTCTAATAATGAGAATTCTAATGTTGAATACTATTTTATTGCCACTGTTTGATTCTGTTGGAGGTTATTTCTGTGTGGGTAACTAAAGACTACTTTAAAAACGGCTTTGATGTTTTACTAAATAGATCTGCAGGAGCATCTGCTTTTTGTGTAAGTAGATGATGCTTCCAAACAACTACAAATATTATGTACATTTATCTATTGCACTCTGGCTTCATTTAGTTGAAGAGATTAAAAAAACCAACCAACTAAATTGCTTGTAATCTGAACACTGAAATACTTATCCTCTAACAGATTCTTTGTGCTGCAAACCCACTGCCAAAGTATTTCCCATAAACTGCAACTTGTAACTTTCCATGTATCTTTCTAGGCTTTGCAGTTCAGGTATGGCAGAATATCACCTAATTTATATAAATAAAATGTTCATGTGTTTCGGTAGTATTTTTGAACTCTTGATTGAAGTATTTTTGTACACTTTACATAGCAAAGTTAATATTATGTGAAAGTTCAATTAGGAAAGTTGCAATTACCGGTTTTCAGGTTGGACTATTAAAATCGTTCACATAATGTCTGTATAATGCTAGAGGTCCCTTATGACACAAGGGTGCTTTTGGCTGGCAGTTTTAGTCCAAGTTGGAGCAGTTCCTCCCTGTTAAAATTTTTGCTGCTTCTGTACTAGCAGAACAGCATTCTGTATTGAACAAAATACTGCCCTACCAGTTCTTTTCATGTAAAAAGGTTAAGTCAACTATGAGTTGGGAAAAAACATACGAAACCTCCTGACAGCAGAAAATTTCTTGTTCTGGAGAAATTTATGTCAATGCTCCTTTGCACTGGAAAGGCGTAGAAGTCCTTGAACTTGTCTGTAGTCCCATTTGGTGATAAAGCAGGGATGAATTTGCTGTTCATTAGAAGTCTGGCTGTTGTAGTCACTGAAAGGTGTCCATATTTACTAGTAAGCAAAAGAGCTCCTTATTCTCTGATATTTATGTTACATTTCATTATAAAAAACTGCAATAAAAATCAGATTGGATTTCTATTTAGATCAGTTATTGTGTGATTCTATTTAGAGCACTTCCATCATCTAAGTATACTAAATTTAAACAGTATTTACGAGAGTCTTGCAGTAAGGAATGTCTTGGGAATTTATTAAGACTTGATATGAGTGTTACTTTGTTTTCCTGAGTGCACTTTTCAGGAATTTGGAAGCAGTCTAATATGCAAATCTCTGTCTCAGACAGTGAACCCATGAAAAAACAAACTGTGCTTGAACAGTTTGAATCCTTCTTGAGGGTTGGTTATTTTTTTTTCTTCCCTCTTTTAAAGGTGTATTTGAACTTCTTGGTTTTTCTCCGTCGTCTAGCAGAAGAAGCCAGGACGAATGCTTTTCAGAACAGAAGTAGAATAATTAAGCCTGAGCACATTATATTAGCAGCAAAGGTAATCGAACATTTCTAATATTTTTCTTTTTTGTTTAATGTAAAATGCATTATGACATCATATACAAAAGCTTTCTGTGTTAGGTATGTTTTTCACAACCTGCGAAATGTAGTGTTCTTTAATCCATCCTTGGCATAATTCACTGTCACCAAGATATTAGAAAACTGTCCTTCCCTATTAAATATAGCCCCATTTTTCTTGATTATTCCATGTTTAAATTCATTGTTTCAATATGCAGGTAAGTCTATGCAGTAGTCTACCAGGTAGCAAGCATCCGTAGGCTAAAAGCCCAGGGAACAGGCGCAAATTTTAAATTTGAAGGGTCTTTATTTAAGATGACACCATATCAAGGAAGCATGCTGTCTTAACTTCAGTAACATAAATGAAACTTTATGGGACAAGTGAGAAATAGTTCAGAAAGGTTCAAATATCTTTCTTATGCCTTCAGTTCTTTCCTGCTTAGTCTAAAAGATGTTTGAAGTGGATTCTTGCAGCATTGTGTGGGTACTACTTGAACAAACAGATTCTTTGGGGAATCTTCTTTGGGGAAGACTAAACTGTGGATTGCTGTGTGGGTGGTTCAGCATAACAAATTGCTGTATGTATATCTGTGAAGGAGAAATCTTCTGCATTACAGAGGTGGGTAAGTTTTGTGTATGTGCAAAAGAAGGGAAAGAGGAAGGTGTTATGCAGCTTTCTCTAGAAAGAATTAGAGTAGTGTCAGAGTATGACTGAAATCCTTTTGTATTCTGTAGCTCATTTCACTCACTAGGATATGTCTGCTTTAGTTAGGTTTCATGAAGGAACTCGGTCTCTTTATCTGTTCAGCTACCTACTACTGCTGGGTAAATTGGAAAAATAAAACTCTTATGTTTTCCGATATTTGAGTCCTGTGGCTTCTGTTTATCTTCAGTACTTTTTTCCCTCTGGTGAAATGTCCAGTTTGATACTTTCTATTACTATAGTAACAAATACATACACGATGTGTAGGGTAGCCAAGTGAATGTTACAGTTGGAATCTTAGCATTTGTAGTTTCTTTTTAACTGCAATCTTAGCGTCATTTGAACATTTTTGTGCTCCATTTATTTATTTATTCTTTTTTTTTTTTTAAGATGAGAAGAAAGGCAAAGCTGTCTGTATTTAAGTATTTTTCGCACTTAAATGGGTCCTATTTGGGCTTTGAAGTTCATTTTTCAACTTAAACTCCAAACCAAAAGATATCCTTTCAAGGGTCTAGGCACTCTTGATATAGAAAGAAATAAAACATTACAAAGAAAATTTGAGCACAAATTAGTTGTATAATTGCGTGGGGTTTTTTTTATTTTATTTTTTTTCCTCCTAGGCCCAATAGTTAAGAGCTTCAAGAAATCTGCTGAGGGCTTGAGAACACCATTGCCATTTCTCAGCATTCGTTTTTAAAATAAGCCTTTTATTTTACAGAATCCTTGGTTGTGAATGTTTATTTAAAAACAAAATACTTTCTGATATGGCATTTTTCTGTATGGCTTTGCTTTATGTATAACTTTTTCACTAGACTTTTACTCTTGGTGACTCTGCTCTTGGAAACAAACTCTTTGACTGGGTGAATCTTTGGTCTGAGAAGCCTAGCATTTTGAGTCTCTTACTGCTGCCTTGACTGTAGTGATAAAAGCAGTGATAAATATACTTTTTTCTTTTTGCAGGTTGTTTTAAAGAAAAGCAGAGGCTAGAAAACAGACCCCTGGAATTTCAAAGCCTGCTTTAACTTTTTTTTTTTTCCTTACTGATTCAAGATCCTGTGACCCAGCTTTTGCAGTTGTGGAAGTATCTGTATAGTTTTGTTGATGTCTATCTCCTGATTCTGAGTATCTTATTGTATCTTAAAAAGAAAATAATTTAACAGTGTTACAATGTGTTTGAGGTTCGATCCTGTACAAATAGTGAAGATAAGTTGGCAAGCATGCCAAGCTACTTCCTCCCTACTTCGAGTGTCATCCTAACTTGTCAGAAGACTGGAAGTGTATGGTATATAAAATAATTTCTAAAATTAAAATCATGTTCTGTTTCTAATGTTTTAAAACAGTTGTTGAACACTTTACTTAATAAATCTTTTGATAAAGATGTAGTTTTATATCAGAGTTTGAATTGATAATAAAGTTTTGTGGCTTATGTGGTAGCTGATCTTTCATAGGCACAGTGAAGTATTCTTAAAATAAAGAACTTTAAAAACATTATGTATTGATTAGTCCGATTTGTTTAACATGTTACTGAGCATATATTAGAAATTCAGTAAAAAAAGATTGCGTTTTAAATATTTTTGTAGTCTAAGGAAACTGGAGCAATGTAACAACTTTGAATTTCATATGTCCACATACTTTTAAAAATCTTGTGCAACCTGGGAAAAGTCATCCTTTTATGACACGCAGAAAGCAAGGATGACTCCTCTGCTTTACTTAGCTCACAGGACTTAGTTCAGTCTGCTTCTTGTAAGGTTGACTAGATTCCTTGTTCTGCATTTTCTTCTCTTGGAATCCACGAAGAAAGCAGAGAATGTGCATGTGTAGAGGATATTTGGATTAAATAATCTGAATTATATTCTCAGGAATAAGAAGACCTGAATAGATATGTATATTTCTGTATAATTACTGTCCATGATCTAACAACAATAATAGTATTGTTCTTGCAACACTAGATTTTTCCTTTGTTATAAATGTTTTCTGTTACATTTTCTTGAAATATTTTCTTATAGTCCTGTATAACCATATACCTTTCCTCATTGTACAGTTGTTTGAGTGCCGTAGCTTTTTTGGAGCTTGTTTTGATGTCCGGTATGAGTTACACTTCTTTGATTTGCCTAAGAGCAAGATCTGCTCTGAGCTTAGTAGAATGTTCTTGTTCTCATGTAGTAGGTGGATGATCAGATACCATTGGGGAATGGAGGCAAGGAAGGGTTAAACCAGCCACCCGTCTCCTTTTAAAATATTTCGTACAGTGGTTTTGGCCTGTATTCCTGGTTAAGAAGGTGCTTTTTTTTCTTTTTTTTTTTTTTCTTAAGCTCTGAGAAGTTTGAGTCAGAATGCGTCCTGCCTTGTGAATGTTTTATAATAGCTGAAGCAGACAGGTACTCAGAAGACCCAAACAGTTTGCCAGGTGTTCAGGTTTCTCTCTTAAACTTTAAATAAATGCTTATGGAAAATTAGGGTGGTTCATGTACTGTGGTTAAGCATTCAGAAATACACAATGCTATTACGTTTTTCTAGTATTTTCTTGAATGTTCGCCATAAGATTAATTATATTCATGTTTGTCAGCTCTTTTGTACTCCTTGATGGGTATGCATAGGGTCTCTTCTCTGACCAGTAATCCTTACTGGGTTTTTAAAACCAAAACTCCTTACAGAATGTTGTCTAAATACCCATGAACACTTCCAATTTGCTGTTATTGAATATTTAATGACAAAACATCAAAGCACGTAGTTCTGGAAAATGTCTTTTTAAAGTAGATCTGTGGTAGAAGGCTTAATGAAGTTGGGTTCTCTTATTTGAATTCCTGTGTTGATGCTTTGCCATTAGGAGGAAAAGGCAGGAATTATTGAGAGAAGAGTCATGCTGATACATTAATAAGGCATCTCATCTACTCGACTGTTTCATGAAACCTGGAGAAATTTAGTGTTTGGAAACCATTGAGACTATTGACTCACTATAGAATTTCCTTTCATTTTAAAGGGTCAAGAGATTTTAGGAAGGAGAGGTGCTCAGAGACAAATACAATTATGATTCTTCATTTCCTCAGGAAAGTGGGATAGATTGCCTAAAAAATTAAAGGCTTACTGAGACATTATCCAGTTTTTCCATTCTCTCTTCTTTTTGCAGTTTTCCCAGTGTTCTTCCATGATATGTCCTATTCCACCCTTTCAGTATGACCGTCAAGGAAGAGGGAAATGTCAAAATGGAGAAAAAAGAAGAATGTGGGAAAATTCAGGTGGTCCATGTCTTGGGCTTTGGTTTTTCATGTAGCTGGTTAGTCTCTGGGCCATTGAGTGGCATCACAGGTGATTAAGGCACAAAAAGAGAAGTGTTTATTGGTAAGTGAGTGATGATGAGGGAAAACTATGTTTTCATTTGTAGGGTGGTGCTGCTGCTATTTTTGTTTCTTTTCATGTATAGAGTAACTGATGGGAGAGAACCTGCTATTTGCCAACTTGACTAAGTCTTCTCATGAGGAGTATACACTATTTTAGCTCTCATTGTAACATTTTGCTTTCAGGATAAATGGAGAAAGTAGTTGTTAAAGGTTTAAAACTAGATTCATAAATACTTTTGGTTTGTAGTGTATGTAAGTTTAATATTCCTGAGTGGTATAAATAATCTGATTATTAGTTTTAAAAGTATTTTTAAAATGTGTGACTATTAAGAATGGTGTATCAGTGAAGGTTAGATCTACGGAGAGATCTGGCTGTTCAACTCCTGAAAGAGTCAACAGGAATATCTGAACTTCTATACTTTTATGGGTTAGGGCCCAAATAATTACTGTTCTATTTGAATCTGAAGTTATGTTGAATCATTAAGTTTGCTGTTTTGATTCAGAAAATCAACAGAGGAGCTAGAGGTGATATTTATGCCTTTGGAGTTTCATTGTGCTTGTATGTAGAGGAGTGCACAGTTAAACACAGCTAAAAAGAATCTTAAGGTGCATAATGCAGATAGTAAATATTCTCTGGTTATAGTGATACAATAAAGGCAAAATATTCAGAAGTATGTATGCTGCAATAGGACAGTTCTTTTTCTAGCCATAAGATGGGGATAGAGCAGAAACTGTCTTCTTTCTTGCAGTAACTTTCTGTTAGAGAATATATTCTGGATTTTCCTACTCAAAAGTGTACTATAGGCTGTGACACTTCCAGATATTTTTGTTTCTAACAATCCTGCACTGCTGACACATGTGGGATGATTAACGTTTAAAAAAAATCCCATTCACCCCAGAAAAGCTGATCCATGCTGAGAGGGTAAAAGTTAGACATGTGAAGCTTTGATAGATCCTGAAGATTTCTCTTTCTTCAAAGCTCGATGTTTCAGCATCAGATAGCTTTCTTAGTTATAGGCCTGTAGTTGTTTGTACAGCATAGCCTCATTTTTAGAAACTGGTATGTTCTGCGGGCAGTATTATATAGGAGGTTTTTGATTAGGACATTTCTCATATAGCAACATCAACTATAAAATATATAGTTTGTATTGGTTGAATTGCTGACTTGGCATTCCATTAGGCTTTTATCATCTTAGAACAAGTAATGATAGGGCATTGTAACTCCTAAATACATAGGGGTTTGAGGTGACTTATGATTATGAATATATATTTAGAAGGTGTGACTTATATTTCAAATAAAAATGCTAGTTACAGTAAAGTAAAATTCTTTTTTCCAGAGCTGCAAGCTATATGTAAAATTTAAGTTCTTCAGGGTGTTTCAAAGTGCTGGGTGTAGTTTTTCAGTTCAAAGTGCTCTCTGTATGTATTGGAATATATATTCCTTGGTACTTTTAAGGGTACTGTACTTGCAGCTGCTGTGGTAATATACTTGTGTGTGATAAAAAGCATAATAGAACAAATTCCTTACATGTTTGAGTAGTTTCAATTCTAGGGTGAGAAGATGCCGACAACATTTTTGTTGTGCTAAATACAGAATTGCAGCTTTTTGAGGAAGTTGGTGACGAGTCTGCCTACCTGACAGCTCATAGTTCTGCAGATGTAGTCAGCTGGAATTCATTCATTTACTGTTTGGTGAACAATGTTGGGGTTATGTCAGTTTCTTTGCAGTCCACATTCATCAAATTCACACAGGCTGTGGTACATAATATTCTCCCGTGAGCTGGGTTATTAATGTTATCCTGACCATACCTCTGAAAGATCTTTTCAGGTCATTTGATACCCGTAAGATCAAGTTTCTTACTGAGAAGGTCACTTTCCTGGGGGAATAATTTGAGTGCATTGAGAACTTGGTAGAGCGTAGAAAAATGCCTAAACAGCCCTAAAATTACTTCTCGTTTACAAAAGAAATGTAGACACAGCTTTACTACTGGGTAATAATGTGATTGCAGCGCTTAAATAAAACCAAGGGCACTTCCTACAGGAATGGCTTGCCCTTAACCTCCTAGCACTAGGTCAGTCAGGCTCTACAGAAACAGACACTCCTATTTTGCTTCCTAAGTGTGTAAAAACAGAGAGAGATACGTATTTTGGCAATTGAAAATATCCTGAATAAAATATTATAAAGTTCAAACTCTTCCAAATATATGTAGTAAGAAATAGGGTTGGATTAGCTGGATATTCTAACCCCTTATATAAGGTGTAGACTGGTGTAATTGTGTTTGGTCTAACCTCTGAAATTGACAGCCTAATGTGAATTTTTCAGTTTGTTTAACTTCAGGTAAGTACACACAGATCAGATTATATAACTGAAATCAGTTTTAATGAGATTTACTCCAAGTTTTATAAATAGACCAGATTAGGAAAACATTTAAGTAACATGTAAGCCAGTTTTAATAACTCTGTTGCATAGCTGAAATCCTAAGCTCTAGTCTGAGCTGTTGAAGGGTACTCGGAGAGTAAAAGCTAAAGTTAACGCACCGGTCGGGGTTTAGACATGTTTAAATTCATTATTATTTAGTTTGTTTTCACTCTTCAGAGAAAACCGTGCATACAGTGCTGTGTCCAGAATCTGTCAGTTGTTTAAATATTGCTGATTTCTGAAGGCTGTTTCACAATTAAAAATGAGTAAATGAGTTAAAGAAAGACCCTAATTAAAAAAGAAATACTAAAATGGTGGGAGCAGTAAGGAAAAGGGAAAGGTAAGCACATGGCGTAGTGATTGTCTGACCAACCTTCTGTGCTTCTATAGTTTCACAATTCGTTTTTCATGTTGAAGTTTAATTGTGGGTTCCTATACTTGGCAAATTTAAAGGGCTGGCTTTGCAAGAAGAGGGCAGTAGTTTTCATATAGTCTAGGTAACAGTCCTCTTCTAAAGCTTTTTCTGATAAAGTTAGTGCTATGTCTGTCCAACCTTAAGTTCAGCTAAAGTTTTTCCCTGCTATGGGCTGGGACACTTTTCACTAGACCAGGTCGCAAAGCCCTGTCCAGCCTGGCCCTGAACATTGCCAGAGTTGAGGCCACTGGAAGGCTTCTGTAA